TTTCTTGGACCCTTTCCCTCGTCTTCCGATGGAAATCGCTGGATAGTCGCCTGCACCGACCATTTCACACGGTACTGCGAGACAGCTGCCATACAATCGGCAACTGCAACCAATGTGTCTTTCTTCTTGCTACGTTTTGTAATTCTACGACATGAACCTCCCAAAATTGTAATCAGTGACCATGGCCGAGAATTCACAGCAGACGTGGTGGAAGAGACACTTCGTGTCTGCGCTTTAAGGTTTCGGCACTCTACACCATATCATGCCCAAACGAACGGTCTTAACTGAATGAACGAAGCGAACTCTCACAAACATGCTGTCTATGTATGTCGCATCTGATCTTAAGGACTGGGACAGTATTCTATCTTTTATCACTTATGCATTCAACACTGGACAGCATGAAACTACAGGCTACAGTCCATTATTTCTTCTATATGCTCGACCGCCTCATCATATCCTGAGTACAATCTTCTCGTGTTTGGACCACCGTGATCCCCGCATATCCTAGATCATCAGTCGGGCAGAAGAAGCCAGACACCTTGCTTATTTGCGCACTCTTCCTTCGCAAGACACATTTTGACAACCGACGTCGACACGTGACGTACAATCATGGCGACCTAGTGTTGCTGAGGACACCAACTAGAAAATGCGGTTTGAACGAGAAACTGCTAGCGCACTATGCGGGACCTTATCTTCTTACAGACCGTATCAGTGATTTAGTTTACCGCATAGCACGTCTCCATTCGAACGGCCGACGGTCTGCAAAAACTGAACTTGCCCATGTTGGGCGTTAGAAGCGCTTTATTCCTCGAGAGAATGTTTGACTCGCCCAGTGGGCTTCGTCTGCGCGGAGGGAAATGTTACCACATATGTAATTTAAATATGTGCACCTGTGTAGCGGGGAACAAGGTGGTGGCAGAAGAAGAGGACGTTCGGTTGGTGGCAAGAGGTCTCTGGTCACAGGGATATATGCTCCACTGTGTTTGATTACATCAATGCAACTAAAAGATTACCGTGCTAGTGAACCCTAACCTTTTCAGATCATTAGTTTATAATTCGTAGCGATGTCTGTCAGGATCAAGAGATGGTTTGTCCGCTTGCGCAGCAACTATTTTTGTTTATTGGCAGTATTATCTCTAAACTAATTTTTCAGATTGGCTTCAATTTCATTTTAGTTTCATTTAAGTATCCTGCCGCCCGGTTCTCAGCCCATCCCCCTCTGTGGGTGAGCGCCATCCATCTGAGGTCATCAGCATCGGGTCTCTAGTGAGCGTTCATTGTATACCGTCGAGTCAACCGTTACGTCGCCTCTGAATAAATCCGTCTTGTAGACATATCAATATGTATCATTGCACTGCAAAATGAAGTTAAATGAACACAAATTTATTATGCAGGAACTTCAATTCACCCAAACTATGATATAGCTTGCTCTTTCTTATTCTGTACTTGATGTAAATACAGCAAAAACGAGTGGTGTACAAAATTGTGTACATAACGTCTCAAAGGTCAAGTGTCGAGGTGTGATAGTTGTTTGTCCATGTTTGTCCTGTGTATGCTTCTTTCGTGCGTGCTTTCTGCTTGAGGTGTGTGCTGCAAGTTTCGAGCAGCTTGCCATTCTTTGTGTTCTTCGCATGACAGCAGCATTCATTCCTTTGTCCTTGTGGCGAAACAATGCAGAATGAATGCTCAACTACCTCTGGAGGGACACGTATCACTTTAGATTCCTGAAACGGAGGATTAACCATGTTTTCTTTGTTATTGTTATTGTTATTGTTCTTTGTTTTCTCATAAAATAGGGCATTAATTTCAGGGTCTCCCTATTAGGCGGGGTGAAATTTTCAAAAGTTTAATTTTTGACTGCAGCATAGACTGCTGATAACATAAGTCAGCGACGCCCCGCATGTCTGCACTATAGCCGAAACAGCCTTCTTCATAGGCTACAATGGTGCAAAATAAGCTAGTGCAGCCTAGCGAGGTATGCGAACTGAGGCATGCGAAAGACCCGCTTTGCTAAAAAAATGGGCCCGAAAAAAAAAAAATACAAAAAGCAAGCGCTATTGCGAAAATTTGCCGTTTACGTTTCAGGCCACCTAGATTAAACGCATTGTCACGGCCGAAGTTTTGTACGCTGAACGATAGCGAATTATCATTTCACAGCCTCGCACCTCGTATCCAAAAACACTGCAATCGAATCTCCAACCAGCACTCGTGTGTTACAAGTTTCACCCATGTCCTCTTTCAATCAAGCAGGGCAAAGGCAAAGAGTTCCGTTAATTTCGTTGTCTCGATATGTTGTCCTTATTCTTTATTCACTTTGATCGCCCGCCACCGAAAAGCAACAAATGCTGATTAGGCTTAGTCTACAGTTCGATATGTTGTCTTTACCCTATTCTTTATTCAATGATTACCCCGCTTAGCCCAAAGGCACTGCAAGCAGGGGGGTTACAATGCTGAAAATAACACATCTTCATTTATGCAGCACACTTGTTCATTAGCAAACTTATTCCATTCTCTAATAGAACGAACAAAAAATGAATTAGCATACGCAATAGAGCTGGTACGGTACTCTAAAATCTTGAAGCAATGATCATTTCGCAAAAAAACATAATGAGGATTGTGAAGGTGCTTTTCTTTTAGAATGCCAGTTTTGCTGTGAAATATTTGGTGCAAGAGCTTTAGCCGCAGTTTCTTTCAATGCGATGAGAGTAATTCCCATCCCAGCTAATTTTTTATATTGGTGTATCTGTCATTTCTTGATTAGCGACCCTGCAGCTCTATTTTGTATTATTTCAAGTTTGTCACTTAAAGTACTGTGCCATGCGTCCCTCACAGCCACAAGCGTATTAAAACATAGGTCGAATGTATGCTGAATACGTCGTTGATTTTAAACATGCCGGCACGGGAAGTTTGTACGAGACAACATTATAATCGAGCGTCGAAAAGATCATACTCAAGCACTGATTCAACACCAGCCCACATGATGCGATGTTTAGGTTCGTGGCCGGGAAATCAATGGCGATGAAAATCCGCTGAGCTTGTTCAAGCCCCCGTAGTGGCAGCAAAGGCGAAAGATCGCGACGGAAAGCCGAAAAGCTTTTAAATTTGCGGATGAGATAGGAAACGTGATAACGACGACGCTTTTCTGGCAGGAAACTCAAAGTGCACTTGATGAGGATGCAATTGCACATTGCATATTCCAAGCAAAGCGCATGCAGTCAGAGCCCTGCCAGTGCAAACCTTACTCCGACACCCAGGCAACCGCTCTTCTTCCTCACTAGGCGATCCCGCGTTTGTTTTTTGTTTTTCCTCAATCCAGTTAAGTAAAAGAGCGTCGAATTGCACCAGTGTCAGTACGGTCCAAGCAAGTTCAGGGTGTGCGTATTATGCGGGGAATTAAAAAAGAAAACCTGATCTCTCACGAGCAAACCGGGGGTGCACCTATTATGTGAGGGCACGTAAATACGATACTTAGCGGTACTCTACGATAAGGTTATAATGAACAAGAAGTGCAGTGGTGACTGCTCATCCCCAGCATTTCAACTGTCGCAGTGCTGTTGAAAGGCTGATGTACGCGCGTCATTAAAAAAACGGCCCTGCTGTGATGGTCCCTTTTCAGGAGATTTGAAATAGCATTAGTACAAGAGGGAGATTAGGGCAAAATTCGTGAGAGTTGGCAGGTATGTTTATGTGCAATAGTGTGACACACTTCAAGATTAAATTGAAATATTTTGGCAGAACGAAACCAAAAACAGGACAGCGAACGAAGGACACAATGCTTGGTTTCTTAGTGTGCGGTTTTTGCTGTTTCAGTCAGCTTTGTACGGACAGCCAAGTCTTGGTCCTGCGCTGCCGTTTTTTTCTCTTGCCTGCCATTTCATGAAATATGCTTCACACTGCCTCCTGTAAACTGCTGACCTTAACTGAAATCGAGTTATGCCATCCATTAGAGTCATTTGATAACATTTATGCACATTTAATTTTCATTGTCTTTCTGCCCATATATTCTACTAAATCTTTTCAATGAAAAAACAGCTGATAGTTGGCACTGCATCCTGTGTGTTCAGTTCCTTTTTTTTTTGCTGCTCTGGCACAAGATTAATGAACCAGTTTTCCCACCTCAGAACTCTACTGATCATTTATACTAAATCAGTTTACTACTAAATCAGTTATAGGCAATATTATTAATATTTCGCAGATAATGCACACATCCACACCAGTCTATTCCAGAAGTCATCCAACATGCAAAATTTTGTATTGGTACAACAATAAACTGTTTTTGAAATCGGTGAGTAGGCAAGAGTGCAGAGAGCACAGGCAACCGAAGGACATGCCTGAGTGCACAGAAAGCTAAGTTCTTCTAGACTCAAAGGTTTGAGAGAGAGTCTTGTCAACACCTGAAACTTTGAAAGCGAGGTTGGCTTCACCAATTGTTACTGTCATAACTTCAGAACGACTGTGCAAGAACAAAACACAGATAACAACGAAGACACAAGAGTTGGTGTGTAGTCATACCGGCAACAAAGACACATCCAGCACAAACTTTCTGCAAAATTTATGGTCTCATTAAATCTGTTTATGTACTGACACAGTATACACAGTCCATGCACGGACATGAACACAACAAGGAGTGCAGATACTTGCACAGTGAATACAATGAACCGATACAATTTCCAACATGCCACTGCCAGAAAGGCAAGCTCTTTGCCCATGAGGACCAGTGTGCACATGCCCAGTGTATACTGTGCAGCATACAGTAAACAAATCCACTGGCACAATAAATTGAGTTGAAAGTTTGCACTGTGTGTGTGTGTGTGTGTGTGTGTGCGTGTGCGTGTGCGTGTGCGTGTGTGTGTGTGTGCGCGTGCGCGCGTGCGTGCGCGTTTTTTTTTTTTTTGCTGAACAGTCCTTTTGAAGTAATGCCTTACTAGCTTGCCCAAAATGCTGCTCTCAGTAACACGCTCAGTGTGGTCACTCATCGAGAAATGCACTGCACAACTTACCTCTGCCCTCAGACGCCGCTTCTCTTCTTGCGCCTGCAGCTTGAGCTTCTCCTGGGCTTTTTTCTGACGCTCTTTCTTGCGCTTCTGAAAGCCGGTCAAGAAATCGCTGCAAAACGCAAGAGAGGGTCAATTTTAAGAAGGCAGTAACCACATATTTTATGCTGAATCTAGTAAGCTACACACATGTTGGCTTCTCTGAAAGAGATGCAAGTACTACGGAAAGAGACCAGGCAACTTTACGACACTGCGACATGTAGACCACTGCTGCTTCTTGTAGGTACAACATTTCGTGAATGTTGGGCAAGCAAACTCAAGCCTAGCCAACATACCATATAGACTCAAGTGAAAGCTGCACTCTTTTTATACAATTTTGGCAATGTGTGGTTTGCACAAAATTTGGGTTTAGTTTTTCAAGCTGTCATAAGAAAATTCATCATTATCTCGCTCATATGATTCCTCAAAACAAGGGACAACATTTCTGCTTTTTTAGAGAATCCATTCATACATGGATATTGCACTATACAGTTTCCTATCCACCCCATCACCCCAAGATTGGGCGACAAGAGGCACCACCGTCAAAACGCTAGTGTGATTAGGCGTCCAACGGCGCGCTTACAAATGTACGCAGTGGCACTTTATTGTGAGCAGTGTAAGGCATTTGTTGGCTATTAAAATGAATTCACAACAGCTAACCTGTAATATGTATGTTCCCCCTGCCGAATGGATGCACAAAGCTCGCTCAACATTATTATTACCAATGAGAGAACACGATTCGCCAATGAAAGGGATGTTTGCACTTGGCAATTGTCTGCGTTATTGCACTTGGCAATTGTCTGTGCAATTTCGCACTATATCATGTTTCTAGTTTTTTCATTTCTTTTGTAGGTGATGGCTAAGTATTGCCTGCTATGCTGCAGTGCGATTTAATTTATTACTGTCTCCATGCATGCTGGTTTTTTTTACTAAAAAAATACTTTAAAGAATTTGATATTCTGGGGCGATGAGCTAATATAACTGCAAACACATTCACAATTTCTTTTTCTGATTCATTTTTCCATGAAAGAAACATAGGACAGTTGATTATTCAGGAAAGCTATAAGGCTGACAGCGCGACTGTTCTTATTTCAATAACAGTATAGAAAGGTAGCAGTTCAGCACCCAATTTTCCTCGATTATCTGCATGACAGAGATGCAACAACGTGTTCGTTATGAAATGCAAAGCATTTCTCTGCATCCTGCAGGAGCTTACAGTGTCTACGAATCAATCTATCTAGCCACTTACATATCGGTACTCTCATGATGACCCCGTTCACTTGGGATAAACCAAAATTAGTATGAAAGAGTAACATTGTCAAATATGACTGGCTGGTCATTACATGAATAATGTCACAATTCTATTGCGTATGTCATTCAACCCTCTCTGCCAAAGGTGAGGCACATACCATCGGGCGGGTATGTGAATGACAGTTTATAAATACCCAGGAACGGTGAGAACAGACATGCGTAAATTTAACACGTGAGCATCAAGAAAAAGCTGACATCGGAAGTGTTGACCGGACGTATGCAAAAAGTAAATGATAGGGTCCCCGCACAAGTCAAACCCCAGCATTCTGCGTGGAAATGAAATATTCTACCACAGAGATACGCCAGGTCTCGGAACTACATTTTAAGTAGATCCCAATGTTCTGGAAACGTCAATTGTGATTGCAATGCTGGCTATTCAATTTTATAAACATCACATATATACTTCTAAAATACAGCCATACCATGGGGTTAACATCAGTTGTAGTTAGGTGCCACCCACTGAACCAGAGCTTTATATCAGCAAATTGCTTCTGGTGTTGTTAATATCCATGCTGCTATGAAACAACTGGTTATATAAAGCATATGCAGCTGCTTAACGTATGTCTGTGCGTGCATTTGTACACTTCTTTAGCACCACTCTGTAATGTTTCACTCAATAAAAAAATTAGAATGCAGTCACCTTCCATCCGCATGCTTCGCATAACATCAATTCCAAAGGTACACGAGATCCGCCATAGGAGAAAAGTATATTTTTTGCAAACAAGTAATGTCCGCTCCTTCATTCAGTCTGTAACAACGACGCAAAATGCTTGAGATAATGTGCTGGAAATTAGACTACACAGCTGTGAGGCAAGGATTAATTTTCAACATTAAAGCGAACCAAAATCTAAACACTAGGGTGTGCACCTCTGTATAAATTTCTCCGGATGTTCAAATTTAAGCACCTCCATATCATTGTATTTTCTGTTCTTTTAAAAGGACAATTTAAGTGCCGAAGTGTTACAATTTACTTGACAAATATTTTGGCGTAGGGGGACCAGGACCATACAATAAAAAGATATCTCAAAAACAAAGCTCATCTGATAACCAACAACACCAGTAATAGAAACCTAACAACAAGCAAATTTCTTTCATCACTGTTCATCACTGCAATCACACAATATTGAAAATTCCTCGTGTTTCGGTACCATGATGATACACAGCACTCTTGATAAGAGCACGAACTGATCTTATTGCTGTGCATATTGTCATGAAATTGTGACACGGACGAAGGAAGCAGACTTGATGTTCCGAATAAATTATTTACTCGGCCGAACTTGTGGCCACGTAAAAGCAAAGACAAATTACAGCAATGCACTGACACTGATAGCGGCGAACAGAGCATCAGCCCTCGATGAAGTGACAAGCGGTGAAGCACATCGGCATTTATACAGGTGCCATCAAATATTCTAACGTTATCGCTAACGACCACGTAAGTTGTGGAATAACCTGTAATGTTCATGAAGCGGGCATAATCTTAACAAAATTATCAATTGCCATCCCGAGGCTTCTCGAACACTGCAAGTGCGGTTTGCGCTGAGAATGACTGACAGTGAAATAGGGCGATAACAAAACTTGAGGAGGGAATGTGGCATTGCTCCCCTCTAAAAAAGGCATCGTCCCAATGCTTTAACAAAAGACGAAAGTACAATAATAAAGTAAGAAAACGAACAATAAGCACAAGAAATAAAGCACAGCAACAACAACAACAACAAAATACAGTCCTCGGTTACACATTGTAATACTTCGGCCTTGAGAGTAAATAAATGAAATGAAATGAAATGAAATGGCTCGAAGCGCACGACTTGGACGACTTCAGGTCCGCACGTCGCCATTGAGAATTAGTAATGCTGTCGGGAACAACCTCGTAGTTGAGTGTATCGTGACGTCGAACTACCCTGTACGATCTGAAGCAGCGTCGCGGATGTTTTTCACTGAGTCTGCGTCGGCGTATCGGCGTCCACACTCAAACGCTGTCACCCGGCTGATATTTCATGAAACTTCATCAAAGATTCTAATGACCGCAATAGGTCGCCTACTGATTTTCGATGTGCAGGAGGGTGAGTTGACGTGCTTCTTCAGCATGCTGAAGGTAGGCGGTGATGTCAAGGTTCTCTTCGTGAGCAACGTTTAGAAGCATAGCGTCGAGCGTCATTGTTGGGCTCCTCCCATAGACTAACTTGTACGGTGTCATGAGTGACGTTTCTTGGACAACCGTATTGAATTCGAAGGTCACGTACGGAATGATTGCGTCCCACGTCTTGTGCTCGATGTTGACGCACATGGCCAGCATATAGGCAATGGTCTTATCAAGACGCTTGGTGAGGCCGTTGGTTTGTGAACCGTAGGTGGTGGTCCGGCGGTGAATTGTTTGGCTGTACCTCAGGATCGCTTGAGTTAGGTCCGCTGTAAAGGCCGCACCTTTGTCAGTATTGAGGACTTGTGGAGCTCCGTGCCGTAGGACGATGTTCTCGACAAAGAACTTGGTTACCTCAGCAGCACTGCCTTTGGGCAGGGCCATTGTCTAGGTGTAACGCGTGAGGTAGTCGGTGGCTACTACGATCCATTTTTTCCCGGAATTCAATGTCGAGAACGGCCCCAGTAAGTACATGCTGATTTGCTGGAATGGCCACTGAGTTGGCTCGATGGGCTAGAGAAGTCCGGCTGGCCTAGCCGGCGATGTCTTTCGTCGTTGGCAGTCCTGGCATGTCTTCACATAACGAGTGGCGTCAGTGGAAAAGCGTGGCCAGTAGTACTTTTTCTGTATTTTTGCATGCATACGAGAAACACCGAGATGTCCAGCCATCGGGTCGTTGAGTAGAGCATCTAAATCTTCTGGGCGTAACGCTAAAGGTAATACGACGAAGTAGTTGGCCCGAAGTGGCAAAAAGTTTTTCTTCAAGAGAACGCCTTTCCGCAAGAAAAACGTCTCAACTCTTCGTTTGAATACTTTTGGGAAAACGGCGGCATTGCCCCTCGAGGTATTCTAGAAAGCTTCTCAGTTCGAAGTCAGCTCGCTGTCGCTCAGCGAAGTTGTCGGCACTCATGTTTCACAAGAAGCAGCCCTCATTTGGGTCATCCGGCGGAGGTTGTTTGGCGGGGCATGAGACAGAAGGTCGACGTGAGAGTGTTTTCTTCCACACATGTAAAGGACGGTAACATCAAATTTCTGAAATCTCAGGCTCTACCGTGTGAGGCTACATGAAAGGTCTTTCCAGTCAGCTGCAAACATAAGGCATAGTGGTCACTAAAGACATCGAAGGGCCTGCCATAAAGGTAAGGGCGAAACTTCGATGTAGCCCAGATGATTGCAAGGCATTCCTTTTCTGTTGTAGAATAGTTGGCCTCTGTCTTTGATAGCAACCGGCTAGCATAATTGATGACTCTTTCTAGTCCGTTAATCCTCTGCACAAAAACGACACCGAGTCATGCACTGCTTGCGTCGGTGTGTATTTCGGTCACGGTGAATTCGTCGAAATGCGCAAGTAGCGGAGGCGTGTGCAGGCATCGTTCCAGTACCTGAAATGCTTCCTCCTGCGTGATTTCCCATTTGAACTTCACGTCGGTCCTGGTAAGGTTAGTGAGGGGATCGGCAATGCGGGTGAAGTTTTTGACAAACCGCCTGTAATAGGCTCATAGGCCAAGAAGTTGATGTAACGGCCTTCTCGTCGGTGAGTGACGGGAAGGTGGCGATGGAAGCTGTTTTCTGCGGGTTGGGGCGGACACCGGACTTGCTGATGACGTGGCCCAGAAACAAGAGCT